AGGTGCTAACCGCACGGCTCAACTGGAGAAGCCATTTTAAGAGTGGATCCTGTTCAATAAACAAGGGGTCGGGACCCACACTGGCTAGGGATGGCCACCCAGCTTTCACCCCCTCCTGGCATCTCAGAGCCAAGCGCGCACACGGGCTGGTGCCTGGTGGAACCCGGGGCATCCTCCGTGAGTCCCAAGCGCGGCTCCCTGGGACAGTCAAGGTGACAGCCAAGCGAGCGAGCTAGCCGGAGGGTGGGTGGCAACCAGAAAATCGCCCATAAGATAGAAGCCCAGTCAGCCACCGTGCGGAGTCCACACACAGGTGTGGGAGGAGACTCACGTTCTAGGGGAGAAACGATTTTCTTTCTTTCTTTTTTCATTTGAATCAAACAGGATGCTGGTTAAACGAGTTTTGTAGGAAGAATTATGGGAAGGGGAAGAGGGGCAAAAAGGCACTGTAAGTGTGCGTGTGGCTTTATCCAAAAGGTGAAAAGGTCATTAGCACTAATAAAAGGATAATTAAACTGGGGAGAGGTTAAAGGTGACTGGCTGGTTAGCGGTGAAGGCGCGCTAGCTGGTGTCACCCGGGTGCTGCAGGAACCGCAACGCGGGGCTGCATTTGCAGGAAGTGGCAAGGGTGGGGCTCGGGGTGCAGGATTCCGCTATCTGTCGCCGCAGGCGCGAGGCCCAATCACTGACACCCACACAGCCATTTCCTGCACTTAAAAAAAAAATCTGTTTCTCCCTTTGCAAATCAACAACTTTTACCTAGAAACTCTTCGGTGGTGAGTTCTGACTGATCTCGATCTCCGGTCCGTTGCAGGGAGCACACCTCTGTTTACCTGGGGGAGGTGTGCCTACGCTAACTCTAACCGACAGGTTTCAGCGGCTGCCCCAGGGGTCTGTTTTGCATCTGCCTGGAAGAAACCAATTCTCTCTACCCCAAACAGACACCTGCTGGTTATTTCCTACCTTGCCAGACCTTTCTAGAAAAGACCTCCAGGCACAGAGAAGTCAGGGCCAGCGCCAAAGCTCTGTGCACGTGCCCCTCACCCGCAGGGGGCGATTCTTGAAAGAGTTCCCAAGGGTACACTTTGTGGCTGGCGTCAGAGCAGACAGCCAGCCGACGACTGCTCCCGTCATCGGCCGATGACACCAGAACTCTTTCTCCGAGAACCTTGGAGAAGCTCCCAGCTGGCAGGATCCCCATCGTGACTGCACAGACTGACACTTATATATGCGTGTTTATCACATGCTGATTAAACCTTCATCAAGCTTTGAAAAACAAATAAAAAACAAAACAGCTCAGACAGAATGTGAAAACTGCAGCCTCTGGTGCGCAAGAGACATCCCCCCAAAACTAGGAGTAACTCACTTGGTCCCACACGAGTGACGACAGCTGAGCTTTGCCAGAGAGGACCCTGGCGCCCTCTTTGAAGTTCAACTACCCACGCTCTTTTCTCAGCTGTAAAGATTTCTGCTAAACTGCAATCTCACGGGGGAAAAGGATTCCTTGATAACTCACTGTAACAGTGCACGACCACCTCAGGCCCAGCCCGTCTTTCCCTGGGAAAGGAGCCAGGGTGGAGGACCCCATGCCCTGGTCCCCGTCCCCCGGGGCTGGGTGCGGGGTGCACTCATCATGCAATCACTGTGCAAGGCACTTCACCTGTGGGACCAGCTGCTGGGCCAGAGTCCGTCCCACGTTTAGGCAGGGACACTGAGGCTCAGGGAGGTTAAGACAATTGCCCAGCGCCCCTCAGGGAGATGGTGGTGGGCAGGAACAGGAAACCAGCCTGATCAAGGAGGCTCCTCAGAGTCTAGCAGGACAGGTAGCCCAGAGGCCAGAGGGAAATGGCAGCAGATTCACCTGTCATGCCTCACATGTTGGAGCCAACTCCAGGCGCAGAGACCCAGCAGGGTCCTAGAAACCTCTGGGTCCCCCGCAGACAAGCCCGGGCTGGGGAGGTGGCACATCAGGGCCACTTCACAGGCAGGGTGGTGAACAATACAGAAGAGCCCATTCCTTCCTCTTGTTTCTGGAGTGCAGGTCTAACGTTGTATATGTGGCTTATGAAAAAAACCACTCCCACCGGACAAGCAACCTCCACGGGATCATGGCTCAACCGCCAGGGCCCCGGAAGCAGGGTACCCACCTCATCTCCTCCCCGCTCAGCCACTGGAACCAATGCTCCCCCACGAGTCAGGACGGCCCTTGGGCGCAACCACATGGCATTCTCAGGTGCGGACGGCCACCGCCACATGCTGGGCGCGTGGCCTCTCCGAGCCGGAAAAGGCTGGGTCAGCAAGAAGCACAGAAAAGCAAATTGCCTTCCCTCACTTTCAAACCGCTGGACCTCGTTTTCTTACAGAAATGATAACAAGGACACTTGGACGGCCTCTTGGTTGCTTCCCATCTTCAGCAGCCAAGAAAACAAGAGCCATGCCTCATGCTTTATAAACAAACGTTTGAGCGGGACCTCCTCCAACACTCATCTGCCGACGTGTCTTGCTAACAACCAGATAACCACCAGGCTGCTCCGGTTTAAGCGGCGTGGCTGGGGAGAAAAGGGCAGTGCGCACAGCTGGGCCCCAATTCCCTTCATCAGGGAAGCAGCGTGGGGCGGACACCCTCCTTTGCATCCCTCAAAAAGCCAAATGCTTCCCCCTCAAATCCGCCTTGTTAAATGTCAACTGCTGGGCCAGGTGACCTTCGTAGGTGCATCGGCACGGCCAGCAGTTTCCAGGTTGTTAGAGGTTAGTATGAAATTACAGCAGAAACACCACTGGAAGGGCTCCAACGGCAACCGTCACACAGCATGTACCTACCACCCAGCAGTGTGTACAGCGCAGGGCTTTCCTGTTCAGCCATTGCTTCTAGGCAAGAGAATCAGATGAGAGACAGTGAGGCCTCTATGTGGGTACATCCTAGCCACTCACAGATTAAACACTGCACACCGGTTGACTGTTTTCCAGAGCACCCAAACCCACAGCTTGATTCTCATTACAGCTGTCTACGGGGGTGGGAGGGCTGGGACAGGCGGTGGTCACTGGGTCCAGGGATGGCCCTGCTGCCAGCCTGCTGTGTGACCTGGGGCACCCACGAGACCTCTCGCACTTCCCTTTCCAATTCCAGTTAAGAGGGCATTGCGGTGCCTATCTTGTCTGGCTTTCGGGTCTTGCCAGAATCTGGCAAGGTGACAGTCATGCACATGCAGATCATGATGTGAAGGGGGTATTCAGGGCACCTGGTGCCTTGCTGGCCATGGCAGAGCAAGGGTGCGGCAGCCCGGAGCCATGCACAAAGGCAGCCTGAGACCCCCAGGACACAGGCCCAAACATCCTCAAACATAGACAGCTCTCTGAAAAACCGAGCCCTGAAGCCAGCTCCAAGGTCAGCCGAGCCTCCAGCAGACTCTGCTTTCTAAGTCCACAGCATTAGCCCAGGGAAGGTGGGGAGGCTCGCAGAGGGAGCTACAGGGGAGGTGACGACCGAGGGTGAGTTCAAAAGCACCCAGCACTGGTTCAGGGAAGGGGAGGAAGCCGAGTAAGCGTTTCCACGAAACCCAGAGAAGGAAGCTCTGCCCTGGCCTGTGAGCGGAAAAGCTCCTCCTCGAGGACCAACAGATGCCTCGCTGCTCGGCGTGTGCACGCGTTCACGTGTGCGGCGCGCATGCAGGTACTTGCCAGCACCGTGTGAGAGCACGTGCATGTGTGTAGCGTGTGACCACAGGACCCAATGCTGTTCCATCAGGAGACTGCCAAGGGTCTCCAAGGGCCACCACCTCCGTCTACATTACAAGTGGCCTCTCGCAGACACAAGGGAATTCCTTTGTTGTTTCTGCTTTCCTCCCCCGTTTTATGGTAAATCCCTTTGATGTGAGGCTTAAGAAGTGATCTTATGCATCTGTTTCTGCTCACAGTTCACAGAAAATCTGCTATGAATTCGCCCAGGCGATTGGTCATGCTTTCTCCCATGACTTATCCACAGGGAGGCCAAACTGCGCACTGCGGGTGGAGTCCCCGTCCACCCGAGAAAGCCCTGGCCAGCCCAGGTGACAGGAGGGGAGAGGCAGCGTTTTTAAATAGCTTCCCCGCTGTCCCTGCTGAAGGCTGGCCAGACTTGAACTGATGACCACTGGTCACTCGCCAGGTCGGGGGTCTGCACGGACGACAGGCCGCCCAGCAGAGCCCCTGGGGCAGACTGAGCCAGAGCACCGCCCACCCTCCCTCCCACAGAAAGGGCGGCAAGAGGATGCTGTGGAAGAGAAGGCACAACTGAGGGAGCACGTGTTCTCCCACAGTCTAGGGACAATGCAGATGACTACCTGGAGACCAGAGCAAACGATGAAGTGGGGTAAATGGTCTGGGGAAGTGCAGAGAATCCCTCTGCCAATAGCTTTCTGCTTGAGTCTGGTAACCTTGCCTGTCAGCCTATAGCCATCACATCGCTCCTCTGGGGGATACGCCGGGCTCTCTCCCGAGAGAAACCACCACAGCTGGGAGAGGGAGGGGCTGCAGGAAACCCCTTGTGCAGAGCCACCTGCCTCCTCTCACGTCAAACATGGCCCAGGAAGACCCCCACCTCCACCCCAAGTCCTTAACCAGCTTGGAGGCACTGGATAAAGAGGGTGGCCACTGCCACTGCTGTCCCCACCCCTGGGCCCTCCCTAAGTCAACGCCTACACACTGGGCCAGGGGCCATGCTGCAGCTCCCCTGGCTGGGCAGCGAGGAGGGCTGAGCCCCTGGCTTTCCGGGAACCACCCTGGAGCCCCGCGTAGAGGCCAGGGCCAAGGGGCCCCCAGGGCGGGTGAGGATGGGGGTTGGGGGGCTCTCCCAGGCACACAGTGTGCGGACCCAGGTGACGGGGCGGAGGGGAGACCCTCCTGCTCCGAGTGCAGACCACGCAGCACCTCCTCTTCTCCCAACCGGTGCGGGAGGGGCCCTCAGTCCCCCCGCCAGCCTGCGACGGTGGGCGGGCGGCTGTGAGAGAAGGAAGGGTACTGACCGCTGGGCGGTTTGGGCCGCGGAGGAGCAGGTTTCTTCGGAGGCAGAGCAGGAGTATCCTGTTTACTTTTAAAGGGGTCATCTGAGAATCCTGCCCCTCCAAAGGAGGAGGTGAAAGGGCCAGAAGTTGGGGGCTGTAAGAGAGGACACGAAAGAGAGGCAGAAATAATTGTTAACACGGAGGCAGTGGATGTCCACCGAGCCCTCCGGGCTACGCAGTGAGGCCCCTACTTGGACCCAGGGTCTCTCACAAGCCCCCTGCCTTCCTCCACCCTCAACAGCCGGGGCCCTCCGGCCTGTGAGGGGCAGCCAGCAAGCACACAGAGCAGGCGAGAGCAGCTAGGTACCTCTATGAGCTTATGTACAGGACGGGTGTTCCCTGCCACCCACATGGGGACATTGGATCTTTCCGGACCCCAGAGTCCCCTGGGCTTCCTGCTCATGCTTCAGAAGTGTGCCCCACCCTCTCCCTCTTCAGTCAGCTCCAGGCGCTGGGTTGGAACCGCACCAGACCATCTCTGTGACCCCGGGCTGCCCATCCAGCGACTCAGGTCAGAGCCCACTTCCGCCCATGGGCACAGCCACAGCTGCCTCCATTGGGCTCTGTCACCTCTGGCCTGGACCCTCCACCAGCCTCTTCCACCCCTGGTCCCACCCACCCCCACATTTACCATCTCAAACCCAAATCAGATCATATCACATCAGCAACAGACAGATGCCTGGATAGGTGGGGGGTGGGCAGGCAGATGGGTGGGGAGAGAGGACAGGTGGACAGGGACTGAGGGAGACGGGTAGGCAGGTAGCCTCCAAGCGCTCTTCTAGGCACGCAGGGCCTTCCTCATGGCCCTCTGCTGCCCAATTTTCTGGCCTCATCCGTGCAGTTGCCCCAGTCCCCTTGGCAATTCCCTGGTGCCTGGAGCCCCCTGTGCCCCATCCCTAGGCCCCCGTACACACAGAGTCTCTCATGGGGGCTCAACCCACCCCATCCACCTCAAGCCCCTCCTCTTCCTCAGAGCCTGGCTGGACCCCACTGCCATCCCCAGAGCTCTCCCTGACACCCTTGCTACTAACTGCTTGCTCAGCTGTCCTAGTAAGAACAGACAGGACATGTGTCACCATGCCACAGTGACAGGTACCCAGGCCCTTCCTGCCTAACTGGGTGGCCTGAAGGGCAAGTGCTGGTGACGGGGTGCACACCTGCCAGCTGAGCCTGTGGCGGGCAGGGACTTGTCTACACGTGCACCCAACCTGGAGCAGCAGCGTAGCAAACCCCCACTGACCACCGGGTAAGCGCAGATGTACCAGCTGCATCCCAAAGGGAGATCACGGTCTACAGGGGTAGGGGACCACTTTTATTAACACAGAAAATAACCAGAAAAAGCAGAGCAAGGAGATTCATAGCTATCAGACACGTAAGTGGGACAGGTGGACCTGGGGGTGAAAACGCTAACACGTTCCTCCAAAAGCAAGGGAAAGAAAATGTGCAGTGGGCAGGGCCAGCTGTGCGCAGCAGGGATGGTGGGGCCACGAGGAGGCGAGCTTGCACTTCTCTCCCCAGTGGGGAGGGCAAAGGGCCAGAAAACACAGCAGGAATACAACAGCACACTCATGGGGCCTTCTTAGGTAATCTGGAGAAGTGGGGAGAAGGGCTGACGCCAGTCATGCTCCTTTCCCTCTAGGATCATGGGCACAGGGATGGGGATGGGGCTGAGGCCACCGCTGCCCCTGGTGCCCAGTAACAGCCACTAGTCTCAGGTGGGAGAGGCGACCAGCCCATAGGGAGGGGGAGGGGCTGCTGCACAGTCGGCCAAGCCCCCTGGGTGCCCAGATTCCTCCCCCAACCCTCTGGGGCCGCGAGGATAGGAGATACTGGCTCTGTGACCTTCTCACCCATATCTTTCCAACGGCCTTGGGACAGAGCCCTACTGTCACCACTTCCATTTTATATGCAGGGAAACTGAGGCATGGAGAGGAGGTGCAGCCTGCTAGTCACACAGCACCTCACTGGGGCAGTCAGGGCAAGACTCTGCACCATCTGCCTCCTAGGCCAGAGCTCCTAGGACCTGCCTTCGCCAGCTGTCGGCTTGCCCTTCACCGTAGGTCTGGGGATTGTCCTCATGCCGAGGAGGGAGACATGCGCAGATACAGGCAAGAGTCAGAGCAGGGCAGCAGACCCAGGGGAAGATGGGGTCCAGTGGGGAAGGCTCGTTTCCCTGCCAAGACTGCCTGGGCCTGCCAGGACACTCTGAGCAAGAAGGACTGCTGAGGCTGTGACCAAGCAGGGAGGAACCTCCCTGCATGGCTGCTGCTCCCCTTTCCCAGGCTCTGTGACACTTATCCTTTAAGGGACAAACGTCAGGGAGTCTGCAAAACCTGTCACTCAAGTTTCCAGAACGTCTGCTGCAGAGCATGGGGGCCAGGGTGGGATTTGGAGGCCCGGCTCCGTGTCTCAGTTTCTTCATCTATCAGATGACAGTAATGACAGGCCCCGGCTCATAGGGCGGTGGCAGGAAGGCAAAAGGTAACGCGTAAATCGCTCCAGCTGGCGCCGAGACAGCATCCGACAGAGACGGCATGATTATTAGTTTGTCAAGGATGTACTAGAATTCTCCTGGATGCCCGCAAGAATCTGCAAACGCCCATCAGCCACCGACGCTTGATTTTTGCTGCCTCCCATCACCCATAGAGCCGTTCCTAGAAGGAGGCAGCACAGGAGACAAGGTGCAGTGTTGACCTCAGCTTAGCTTTAAAATAGGTGAGTTAAGGTCTTGTTTGGGAAAGAAGACCGAGTGGGGGCTTAAAGAGATGGAGAGGGAGGGAACACTGGAGCCTCTGCTTCTGCTGTCCGCAGGACACACGCTGGGTCTAGGGCTCGCTCCACTCGCACCATGACCTGAGACAGACAGGCAGGCAGGAAGCAAACCAAACTTCTCATCAGAGTGGTGATGTGACAGGCCCCCAAGGCCCCCACGGGGACCCTAGTTCTTGTCTTGGGTGCTGGGTGTGCACCAGCTCTGGGGAAGGGGCACAGAGGGACACCCAGAGCCCTCCGGACATGCCGTCCCCTCCCGCAGAGTTGCGAGGCACATGGGGCCCTCGTCCACCCAGCCCACGCACTGCACCCTGGAGTGTGAGCTGCAGTGATCCTCCTGGCTGGCTGGGGACACCACCAGCCAAGCCCACTCTCCGCCCCCTCTTCTGTCTAAAGCCAGTGCGCCCGTGGGCCCGCTCCAAGGTGAAAGGGTTCCAGCCGTAAACGCCTGTTCGCCCACAGCAGGGAATTATATCACTTCTAACACCAAAAAGCCGGCATCATTTCCGAATTCTAGTTTTCATGACTTCAAGTTTCCCAAGAAGCCTCCTTTGGGACCTGACTGGATCCTATTCAGGCTGTGGCTTCAGGGAAAGTTGCTATTTTTAGAAGGGTTTCAGTAAAGCCAGTAGGGGCTCTCTGGCTGGGCTAGAGTGAAGTGTGCTAAAAAAAAAAAAAAAGCTACTATATGAAAAGCAGCTCTAAGAGGTTCACAGTTTAAAGAATTGGTTTAAAGCAAACGACTCCGAATTTAAAAAATAAGCAAATAAAAACAGCCCTAAATAGGAATGCAGGGTTGGAAAACAACTGAAAATGGACTGACAACCAGTCAAGTATTTCATAGGTGCTTTTTTTCAGGATGGGAGGGGTGAAATAATTAAGTTGGAGTCTTGTTTTTGTTGTCAGGTGCTCTCTGAAATCTGTTTTGGGGAATGTGTTCTTAAAGCAAGGTAATGTAGGCTTGATCCTGTCTAGAAAAATCTCCTCGGGTATGGGGGGACCTCAACGAAGAGTGTAAGTCCAAAGAACCTCCCAAAGGAATCTACTGGAGTCAGCTGGCTGGCTGACACTTTGCTTCAGCACTGCCAAGCAGAGGGAGGTCACTCCAATTTCGGGTGAAGGTAGGAGAGGGCAGGGTGCCAGCATGCATCGCCAGTGTGCGTTGCCTCCTCACCCTACTCAGGTGGAGAAAAGATAGCGGTGTAAAAACACACACACAAAACCAAGAAGTCAAAAAAAAACAACCCAAAACAAAAACAAAACAAA